TCGGAGGGTCTCGATCGGAGGGTCTCGTTCCCGACTCTTCTGGAGGAGGCTTCCGACTACATTGTTGCGCTCCAGATGCAGGTTTGTGCTATGGCTGCACTCACCGTCATTCTCTCATCCTCCGGTGAAGGAATGATTGTACTTGAGGCGTTGATTTTAACATCTGGTGTTGTATTATCGTTGACCGGCTATTCTTTCTGGGCTTCTAGAAAGGGGAAGGATTTCAGCTATCTTGGACCAGCTTTGTTTGTTGGCCTTGTAGTTCTTTTGTTAACAAGCTTTATTCAGATGTTCTTCCCACTTAGACCAACCTCTGTTGCCGTATTCGGCATACTTGGCGCTCTCGTCTTCTCGGCCTTTCTCATCTACAACACCGACAACTTGATCAAGCGTTATACCTACGACGAGTACATCTGGGTCACAGTTTCTCTCTATCTTGATGTCCTAAATCTCTTCCTCTCCATCCATCTTCATTATTTATATACAGAGCAATGTGAGCTGGACACTAGGCTTGGCTATCCCTGCCATCATGATGCTCATCTCCTGCATCCTCTCCCTATAGCAGCAACAGCAGGATCTCCTCGTGATCCCATAAGCAACAAGTTGTAGCAAGCAACAACCAATCCTCTCCAAGTTCTTCAGGCCCTCTGCCTGATCTCTTCCTCTTGTCCAGAAAAATCCTGTTGCAGGCCTTCCTCGCTGCAGAACCTCTTCCTTAGGCTCATCTGTTGGAATCTCCCTGCATTCAATTTTCAGGCCAACAAAAATTCCTCTACCAACTTGTAGGCTAGCCAGAATCACTTCCTCACTGTTGCTGGTTAGCTCTCGACATCTTCTTGGTGGTCAGAACTTCACCCTCAAGTACCAGCTTCCAAATGAAGACCTCAAACCGTTGCATCGTTGCATCTTCTTCCGCTGGCAGCAGATTCGATTCATCTCAATCGATTCTCTGTCCACATCCTTTTTGGCTAATCTGCAGGCCCTCCTCTGGAGCTCCTCCAGTTCTTCCGAGCACCAGACTTCTCCCTGCATGAGCTCCTTTGTTCAAATTATGTTGCTTGAATCTTCTTAGCAACAAACCTTCCTCCACCAAAAATTATTCCCTGCTAAACAGCCGAGTTTCCTGCCGCCAGAACTTCCTGCGGCCTTTCCTGTCGCCAGAACTTCCTGCGGCCTTTCCTGTCGCCAGAACTTCCTGCGGCCTTTCCTGTCGCCAGAACTTCCTGCGGCCTTTCCTGCCACCAGAACTTCCTGCGGTCTTTCCTGCCACCAAAACTTCTTGCGGACATATTTGCTTCCAATTCTCTCCCCTAGAACTTCCTGAACCTTCAGGCATACAAATGCAGCCAATTCTCTCCCCTGCAGCCTTTCCCGTCGTCGGACCTCCCTCATGCAGCTTTTCTCGCCGTCAGATCTACCTCAACAAAATTTTTTCCCTGCAGATTTCAGTCGGCTCTTCCCAAGGAAAGCATTGCTCTTTCCTGTAGCATTATTGCAGCCTTATCCGAGCACTACAACTTTCCTGAACACTGTCGTTGGCCCTCTGCAGCTTTCCTGCAACCTACCTACAGCCTCCCTGCAGCTTTCTTGCAGCTCTCCTGCAGCATTATTGCAGATTATTGCAGACTTCTTGTTGCTTTCATGCAATTATCAGTCAATCGGTGACTTATAAATTCATCAATGTCTCGAAATTGAGCTTAGCCCTCGTCCAGGCCACTCTCAGGCTTCGACCACTCACAGGTTTCGACATTCTCTGCTTCAAAGCTGTCAGGCTTCGGCGCCCTCAGGCTTCGGCATTCTCGGCTTTGGCACTTACGGTTTAAGGATTGTTGGAGTTTCTTGTTAGCAAATTGATGTTACATGTTCAGTCAGCATACCGCACCCGATGTTTTCAAATTCAAGTTGAATATGGTTTTCAACCATGTTCAACTTGAGGGGGAGTGTTGAAAGATCTGTTGAAAGATCTCATGAAAGATCTCAAAAATACTAATAATTATATTTCATATTTGTTATAACTCTATATTTAGAATGTTATAAATTATATGATGGACCTTGAGAATCTATATTTATTTCTCTCATTAATTAGAGAGATTAGCTGTCGCTTATATTTTGTTATTATTCATTTCATTTTCTATTGTATTCTGTTTTTATTATTTTTCATACCAGTAAATCATGTAATGAGTATTTATACCCCTCTTTGCATCAATAAAATCAAGCATTCTGAAGTATTCCACATTATTCTAAAATTCAACAAACTGCAATTCTGAAGTATTCCGCATTATTCTAAAATTCAACAAACTGCGAAGCACGACATTTTTTTAGACCAGCATTCATTAGAGTTAAATTTGTCCAAACTAGACAAATTTAATGAAGATCTTTAAATTTATGCTTATTGAGAGAATCATATCAAGCATTAGTTTTTATGCCATTATATATTTTCCTTTTTAAGTATTAAATTCCCTTTTATTTGTTATTTTCAATCTATGGCCGTGCTTATAAAAATGGCCAAGAAGGGTCGTAACATCAAAAAAGGCGTATTTTTTATTCTAGCTTTAGCTTAGTTTATTTAGTTGGCATAACTTCAATCTTGATTTAAATTAATGTAATCTCCACAAAAGATTGTGCGAATTGATAAATTCTTCATAGTCAACTTTTTTTTGAAGTCAAATAGTTTGATGTGGTAGTTGCTACTTGGCGAATACAATACTCTCCAGCATTACTAATTTAAATAAAAAAAAAGAAATTGTGCGGGTTGTTTCCCAACATTTGTGGGAGAGGGAGTGTAAGACTTCTACTTTCAGAAGTTGAGGGAGCAGATATTTGGGCTGATTCTTAGACTTATTTGGCCATGTGTGTTGAGAATGGTGGATACAGAGATGGTGCGATGTGCAGGAATGGCGTGACATTGTTTGATAGAATGGTGGATTGGTATTTTTACTATTTTTGGATTGGCATCTATTAGAATATATTATGAGATTACGTATTTAATCCCTTCCATTATTAGGAGATTGCCTCTATTATTGCTTTCCTATTCTATTTTATCATGTTTTTATTTCTTTCCTAGTTGGTGTATTTTGTAATGAGTTTATTTATCCCACCTTTAGTATCAATAAGAATTATCCTAGTTCAGTACTGACATGATATCAGAGCCTAGGAAAATTCTAATTAATCAGTATTGCTTTTAAATAATTTATTTGACTACAAGGCTATAAAAATTAAAATTACTAATTAAAAAAATAAAAATAGATTAAATTCTATTTAAATGAACTTTAATATAAATAACACAACTTAAATCATGCCCTGCCCTAACATTCTAATTATGTGTGACTAAGATTGTCAAAATAGCTCAATGTTCATGAATAGGTCGTGCTTGATTCCATAAGCAAACGAGCCAAAGACAAAAAATTTTTTTTGAACTCAATATATAACCTTGATTCCATAAGCAAACGAGCCAAAGACAAAAAAAATTTTTTGAACTCAATATATAAACGAGCCGAACATGAACAATGATATTTTTTTAACAAGTCGAGTCTGTGCTCGCTCTAACTCGGCTCATTTACACCCCTAACAGTTGCATGCGTGACTATAATCAAAACGACTCTTTGTTTGCATATAGCTCGTGCTTGGCTAGCTAAATATAAACGAGTCGAACACGAACAATGATATTTTTTAAAGAGCAGAACACAAGCTGAGCCCGGGTTCGCTCGTGTTCAGCTCGTTTACACCCCTACACGTAGTTGGTATAATAAGTCATATCATGCATGTCCCCTATAGGCACCATCTCCAAGATGTTCACCGAATTCTCAACTATTTAAAAAGCACTTCGGGCCCATGTTTCTCGTGCCAAACTTACTGTTCTATTGCAGTATACACAGAAGCTGATTGGGTTGGGTCCATCCATGATCGGCGATCTACCTCAGGGTACAACTCATTTTTTGTGGGACAATTTTGTCACGTGGAAAATTAAAAAACAGTCGGTGGTTTCTTGGAGCAGTGCTGAAGCTGATTTTTAGACCATGTCCTTAGGAATATGTAAAGCTCTCTGGTTAAGCATCATGCTCCGCAAACTGCGTATGTTGGTCTCCATCCCTCTACAATTGTTCTGTAATAATAAGAACGTCATTGCATTGCCCACAATCCGGTGCAGTATGATCGCAACAAGCATGTTGAGATTGACCGACAATTCATTAAGGAAAAACTCGATTCTGGGGAGATTTGTATTCCTTTTGTGTCGTATAGTGGCCAACTCGCACACATCCTCACAAAGAATCTTCCTCTAGGTCAGGCTATTAAGAGTATATAAATGGTGGCATTTAAATCAGAACATTTTGCTTAAAGAAAATTTCAATTCAAATTTCCAATCTTGATAGAGAAAGTTAGATGTTTGATTCCATACAGCATGGTATAAGCCCCTACCTGATCCCAGAGGAAGTTTCATCACCTCTATAAACTTACGGCCTAATTTTTCAATATTTCAGTCACAATTCTTTCCATGTCTAACATAATTTGCTATTGGCCAAATTAGTAGTGTTAGTTTTGATCAAAATTCGATAAGTCACAACTTCGATTATATGCAATTCAGTTATTCTGCTCGTTGATTTTATTTGTTTATAAATTTCTATTAAATTCTCAAATATTTACAATTATTTCAATCTCAATTGGGCTTAAAAATATTATTGCTTGCTTTTATTACAAGACATTGAGTTATTGGATTAATTGGTAACCAATAATCTATAATTGTATATTACACACCATATTAGTTGTATTCGAAAACTCAGAACCTATATCTTTATTATCAACAAAGTTGTACAATATTAAAAATTATTGCATGCAAAAAAATTTTGACAGAATTTTATTGTTAATCCCATTACCTGCTAAGTAACTGTCCAGGGGAGCAGAATTACTGACAAAAACCAATTATAAGTAAATTTATAGGAGGGTGATAAATTTGGCAACTGCGCAAGTAAAAAAGTACGTATAATGAGCCGCAATGAGAGTACCTAGTTGGATTTTGTGATGGAGCCCAGAGGAAACAAATAACTGCAAGAAGTATGTACGAAAGAACATTCCAAAAAGCAGAGATGATCCAAGCCCTTTGCCACAGCTCACTTAACGGGTCAGTTGCATTAAAGTACAACTGCACCATCACAAATTCAAAAGCTTTGGTGTATATTGAATCACTTGAATGTGACATAATTTTCTTAAAAGTAAAACAAGCTATGCTCAAAACCTGATGCCAAAAACTGAGCACCATTTTAAAAGAGCAATAAGAAGAAACGGTTTTTTGGAACATCTGATATATCAGAGAACAGCATACAGTGTATATTGAATCACTCAACGGGCAAGTTGCATTAAAATACAAGTGCACCATCACAAATTCAAAAGCTTTAGTGCATATTGAATCACATGAAATTGACATAATTTCATAAAAGTAAAATAAGCTATGCTCAAAACCTGATTCCAAAAACTAAGAACCATTTTAAAAGCGCAATAAGAAGAAACGGTTTTTTGAAACATCTGATATATCAGAGAACAGCATACAGTGCTTGGAAATTTAAAATAAAATTACAGAAAAAAAAAAAAAACCAAACAAAAACAAACAAAAGGTTATCTTCCACATATGCACAAATCATTTAATATTTATCTTCCAATCTAGTTCTAAATTGAATATCTAACATGAGTGCAATACTAGTCATGATGGTTTTCCTTGGAGAACCAGTGTGTACATCACTGCAAATAAGTGTTATAAAAAGGGTGGGGCTAAGTAAAATTGCCCCAGGTTAGTGATGTTTGGCAGGCTAAGACGCTGCCCTATGTGCCTGGGCTTTACCTTTTTTGCCTCATAGCAGGATGATAGCTCTATTATATAACTAAAATTAGACAATCAAATTACAAAGTTTGAACTTAATATAAATAACTTCTATATCTATTTAAGAAAATATGAATGAAAATTTATTAACATTTTAATCTCTTATGAGCTAAGTGATATCAAATAGATTCCTCTCCTACAACCCCATGGAAAAATCTAAGATTTAAGCCTGATTTGCCTTCAGCTCCTCAGACCATGTCTATACCAGATCTTTACTCCTCACCAAAGGCTTCCTCACAGCTCTTCGTTCTCTTGCCCACAAATAGCTAATCTTTGTAGAAGTCCAACACCAAATGGCCAGTGGTGTTTTTTTTTAATTTTGTTTAATTTTATATGTTTGTGTTAAACTATAAAGTTAAAATATAAATCATATGGTTAAAGATTTTAGATTTTAAATTTCTTTTTCTCATTTTTGAATAAGTAAGCTGAGTTTCCTTATGTCTCCGTGCCTTCTAAAATATTGTTGATAATAAACAGAATGTTCAAGGAGATTTAATAAATGTGTTTTTCCCTTGATGACTTAATTACTACGTCATGAAAGTATTATAGTACGAACCTCATAACCAATCCAGGCAACAGAAAGAAGCACGGACACAGCCAAGGAATTGGTGAACTTACGATACAAGTCCAGTTTGGCCACACTTCTTCGCACCTGAAGGAATAAGAAACATGACAAAAGAAAAGCATGGTCAATAAGACAATAGTGCAAGAAACTTCAACGAGAAAAATATTGAAGTGGTCCCTCCATGCACTAAAAGATAGCCAATGTGCAATTAACAATAAAGTATGAAAAACAGATTGCTGAAAGAAAGACAGTAAATGATTGTTTTCCTGAAGACGATAGCACAGGACAACCAGAACTCAAACAAGCACTAGGAAAAATACAAGAAAAAATTTACCCATACTGAACGTCTTTGAATGCATCCACGTGATTCAAGTCAAATTCTGCTTGATCTAATACCATTGTGTCAAATTGTGCTGATCTAATATTAATAGTGTACCTTATTACAGCAGTGTATAAGGTTTTTTTTTCTTTCCTTCATGTATGAATCATGAGTAAAATTTTTTTTACTACATGCAGCAAAAAGGCAATCAGATTAAGTCTTACACACAACAGAATGCTTTACACACATTCAACTTAGATACGATAGTGGAGATGTCAAAAGGTCCGTGATAAAATTTGTAGGGAACTGTTTGCATAAGATTTTGCTCCATAATTTGTGAAGCATTAAAATTTGAAAAAGAAGCTTTTTGGGGTTTGAAAATTGAGGCCTCAACAAACATAAGTGCAGTTAATTTTGTACTTAAAAAATATAATATGTGAAACAGAAATGGAGATTTACATATAACCACACAATGCTCATGTATTTACATATCTAACACCTAAACTTCCATATTTACATTTATAATACTTTGGTGATGTAAAACTATGCATGAAAAAGTGTATTCCACTTTTAGAAAATAAATAATATTGGCATTTTTGACGTGAAGTTAGAGATTTGGTACTATGTATATAAATATATGAAAGTTTGGGTGCTATTTACGTAAATAATAAGAATTGTGTGCTATGCATTGAAATGCCCCAAACACAATAATGAAATGCAGAGAAGACAAAAAAAAAAAAAATAGGCATGAGCCAAACTCAACCCCTTTTAGAGTTAAGGGGACAATAACACCAATCACTTGCCAAGTAGTACTACTCCGTTAACCAAAACTAAAAATATAATACCAAATCAAGCTTCAGAGTAAATTAGCCTCCATATTTTCATTTTTCAGATATTTAAATAGGTAAAAAGTCTTTTTGCCACATACATCTTGTTAGAAAAGACTTGATAAAATGAAAGGACAAAAGATAAACCAAGTTCAAGACTTCCGCAAGCAGATTCATTAGAGTTCCTTACACAAGGTGATGCAATGGAAATAATACAAAAGAAATTAGAATTTACATAACAAAAACACACTTTTTTTTGTAATTAAATTTCAAAATACAAAAAAAAGCCTAAACAAAATGATAATGCAATGATTAAATAAATTAAAGAAAGCAACAAAAAATTGAAACAAAAAAAAATCAGTGAGACTCAAGTTATGCATCAGCAATAAAAGATTTATAATGAATTCTGACCAAAATCAGGAACTCTTCAAAGAAACAATATTTAGAAGAAAGGTTTGAGGAAAACAATTATCCAAATAGAGAAAATTTAGGTATCAAGCAGATATAAGCAAATAACTTCCCTCAAAAATTGATGGCACAAGTAGCGCAGTTAAAGAAATCCAACATCCAATCGGCGCACACAAAATTGAAAAGAAAATTTGAAATTTTTATTAAGCACATAATTGAAATTTATGTGTAGTTTTGGGAAGGAAAAAAATAATTATTCCTCTTCAATTTCATTTGAAATGATTACAAAATAAATAGATGGTGATGGCACCCATATTAAGAACATCATAAACCAGTCATAACTCCCCATGAAAAAAAATGTAATAATTAAAAGATACAACAAACAACAACAACAACAAAGCCTTAATTCCACTATGTGGGGTCGGCTACATGAATCCTTTTTCTCCATTGCATTCTATTTAGTGTCATATTTTTATTTAGTTCTAATAAATTAAGATCATTTTTTATACAGTAAGCCCAAGTCCTCCTAGGTCTATCTCTACCTTTCTTAACATGAGTCAAATCAAAAACATCTACTCTCCTAATCAGATCATTAGTTATACGACGCTTAATGAGACCAAACCATCTAAGATGGCTTTCTCTAATTTTGTCCGTCACAGGAGTTACACCAACCCTATCAACCCTATTACGGCACCAACCCTATTACGGATATAATCATTTCACATTTTGCCTCTAAGTGTAAAGCCACTCATCCACCTAATCATTCTCATCTCGGCAACACTTAACTTAGTATTATGATTCTCTTTTAAAACCCAACATTCAACACCATAGAGCATTGCAGGTCTCACCACCGTCTTATAAAATTTTCCTTTCAATCTAAGTGGTACTTTTCTATCACATAAAAGGCCTGAAGCACTTCAACCAACGAACCAACGAACTTGAATTCTACTATTAACATTCCCATCTATATCACCATCGCTTTGGACAACAAACCCGATCTAAATCATTCACACCTTTTAATAATTTGATAGCCCAAAGTTACACTTCTATCACTAGAGCTACTGCTACCAAAATTACAATCCATGTATTCAATTTTAGTTCTACTAAATGAAGGCCTTTAGACTACGATGTAGACCTCCATAATTCAAGTTTTTCCTGGGCTTTTTCTCTCGTCTTATTCACGAGAAGGATATCATCAACAAAAAGCATACAACAACGTTCATCATCCTATAAATGTCCAGTAAGACCATCCAAAACTAAAGCAAAAAAGATATGGGTTTAAAGTCAATCCCTAATGTAATCTAACAAAAATAGGAAAACATTTGCTCAATCCTCATTCAGTTCGAACACAAGTAACAACTCTAGTAAAACATATTAATAATAAAAAGCTCCAATAAACAAAAATAATATAAGAGCTCAAAGTTAGGCCTGAGCAGTCCTTTGGTGAAGATTAGAACATGCTAATAATAAAAAGCTCCAATAAATGAAAAATAATAAAAGAGCTCAAAGTTTGGCCTGAGCAGTCCTTTGGTAAGGACATCCGCTATTTGTTAAGCAATAGAGATAAATAACATACAAATAACTCCATAATCAATCTTCTCTTCCATGAAGTGTCTGTCAATCTCCACATGCCTTGTGCGATCACGTTGCACATGATCTCTTGCAATGCTTATGGAAGTTTTATTGTCATAGTATAACTTCATTAGCATATCTATTGGAATTTGTAGCTTTTTAAGTTAGCTTCAACCAAAACATCTCACCTACTTTGTTAGCCATAGCTCGATATTATGCTTTGGCACTGCTCCTTGCCACCACATTTTGTTTCTTACTTCGTCAGGTAACCAAATTTACCCAGACATAAGTACGGTACTCAAAAGCCTATCTCCTGGCAACAATTGAGCCTGCTCAAACTGCATTGGTGTATGCCTCTATATTCTGTTACATGGTCTTTTGAGAGAGTAAATCATTACCCGATATACTTTTTAGGTATATGAGAATCCTGTTAACTCCTTCAAACTATTTCCCAAAGGAAGAATGCATAAATTGATTTACAAGGCTTATAGCAAATGTGATAAATGGTTGTGTCTGTGATAAGTATATTAAGTTTCCCACCAAAATTTGATATCGAGTTGTATTTACTAGGTCGCATTCCTTCCCATCTCACTGCTTTTGATTGAGATCAATTATAGTGTTTACAGACCTACAACCACTCATCTCAATTTTATTTAAAAGATCAAGCACATATTTCCTTTGGGAAACTATAATCCCTTTCTTCGATCTAGCAACCTCCTTGCGAAGAAAATACCTCAAAGATCCTAAGTCCATGGTCTAAAAGACTAACGAGAGGGAAGTCTTCAACCGGTTCATTTCATCTATGTCATCTCAGGTGAGAATTATATCATACACATATACAATAAATATGGTTATCTTCCCCTCCTTTGAATGCTGAAGAACATTGTATGATCTCCTCATCCTTGATTATACATTTGGCTTTTACAAAAACCACGTTCTCGGTGATAGCTTCAACCCACAGAAGGATTTTTTTAGTTTACACACATCTGTTTCGAACTTCTCATTAAATCCTAAGGATGCATTCATATATACTTTTTACTCCAAATCAACATTAAGGAATGCATTCTTTATATCCAACAGTTGTCGGGATCAGTCAAAATTAGTTGCAAGTCACAGAAGTACCCTTACAGAGTTTAGTTTTGCAACAAGAGCGAATGTTTCTAAATAAGCAATGCCATATGCCTGAATGAATCCCTTAGCAACCAATCTAGCTTTGTGACGTTATAAGGATTCATCAAAATTGTAGTTGATTGTAAACACAAATTTGCATCCGGCGGTTATCTTTCTTCTAGGTAGATCAAACACTTCATGTTTCATTTTTTTCAAGACCTTTCATCTCCTCAAAACAACCTCCATTCACTTGGGGACTTTCAGGGCATCCTGCACAATTCTAGGAATCTTCATATACAATATTGTGAGGTAAAAGCACTTAAAGTAAGTGAGAGATTTTCATATGCACATAATGAGACAATGAATGTTAGGTGAAAGACATTTCCCCAATAGGAAGGCTAGGCTCATTAGACTTAAGATTCAAACTATGCTTTGATTCAAGACTAGAAGATTTTGAATTGAAGATGAAGTAGACTAAATATGAGATAAAGGATTAATGAGACTTTACCCGAGTTTGCAGATTCTGAGCAGTGAAAAAAATTTGTAGATCCATTCTTTTGAGTTGTTCTCTGTCGCAAGTAGACAATGTCAAACAGTATCACTGTTATCTTTTTTCCTCGTCTCTTCGTTGTTATGAACATCATGAGATAGTATAGTAGAACTTCAGTACCTAAAAAACTTGGTGCATTCTCTAATGATATAATATCTCATGAGTTTTCAAGTTGAACAATTAAAATTGGGGACATACAATTTTGGTATTCTTTGATTTGAATAAAATCTTGAAACTCGGTAGACACACCTTTGTTTTATACTTCCTCTTGAAAATAAAATTAAAAAAATAGTTGTAATTC